AAAAAATCTGTAATTTAAAGAAACATTCATAAAATAAGTACAAGACACATTTTTAAGAATATCCAAAGAATACATTTTAAAGCTCCTAGAAATTAGCATATATATGTTAGAAGAAAAAATATGCAAGATAATATTGAGAAAATCATGAAAAAATAGAACAGATAATCACAGAGATAAAAACTAGGAAAAATTTTAGACTAGAGGATAAATAAAAATTTAAACATCTGATTAGACAAAGTCTCAGAAGAAGAAGACAAAGAAAAATGGAAGTGAGAAAATTATTTTAAAAAATAATTCTAGAAATTGCCTAGAAAAGAACAAGATGAATATGTGGATTGAAAGGGCCTATTAAATAACCAGTATAATTGATTTACAAATTCTCACACCAAAGCCTATAATAATGAGATTTTAGAACACCAAAAAAGAAATAAAACTTTCCAGGATAAAAAAAAAACAAGGGAAAGAAAAATCAAATATGACAATTTGGGAATAAGAATGGCAGCAGACTTTCAACAGTGACAATGGAAACTGTAAGGTAATGGAAGGACACAGCCAACATTTTTAAGAAAAATGGTTTCAAGTCTGAAATTTTATACTCAACCAAAATAGCCAATGTGAGATTAAATAATGTCATCACACATCCAACATCCTTAAAAACTTAGTGCTCAAGTTATTTTTTCTTATAAAGTTACTAGAGATTGTCCTCCATTAAAAATGAAGGAATAAATCAAGAAAAATTAATACTTGAGACCCCAGAGGCCCAAGTTGTAACATAGGTGACAGGAAGGGAAATTCCCACAATGATGGAGAAGGAAAATTCCACAACAATCGCTGTGCAACACAACCATGAATTTACCAGTGCCAGATGGGAACAAGAAGGGGATATCACATTTACACAGGTCTGTTCCTGACCTGAAGGTCTGACTTGGGGTCTTGAATGAAAGCTGAAATATGCTGCCCACATCACAACCCTAATGAATGATTGTATCAAACCTAGAGGAAAAGGAGTTTCTTAACAATTAGTCTTCCTACAGAGAGCTCTGTTTTATAAGTTGTCATCCTAGGAAGCACCTTGTTAAAAGTCATCTGTCCAGACTAAGTGCCTTTTTCTAACTCATTTGAAAGTGAAAATTCAAACACACACACAAGTGGAAAAAACAGTATGGTAAACACTCATGTTCTAATCCTTCAGACACAATAATTATCAAGATTTTGAGCTACTTGCTTATGTAAACATTAAATTTTTGAATTTTTAAAACTACTTAGAAGTGTACATGGTAAGTTAATAACATAATTACTCCTAAAGCCTTTGATTGATATAACAAATTAGAAGGTGTGAAGAAAAGATAGAAATTTTTCTTTTAAATGTGTTATTAAAGCTGGCCATGGTGGCACATGCCTAAAATCCCAGAAACTGGGAGGCTGAGACAGGAGGATCATTGTGAGTTCGAGACCAACCTAGGCTACAAAGGGAGCTCTAGGTCAGCCTGAACTGCGTAGTGAGACCCTGTCTCAAAAAGGCAATCAATCTATCAATAGTCTTATTTTATTTTTTTAAGTTTTATTATAAACTTAATGCAAACATAAATTATAAACATTTTAAACTCAGATAATAATATTTAGGAACATTTTAAACTCATAGTGGGAGGGAGGAGAAGGGAACAGGACAAAAAGAACTTGTGTTATGTACATATAACTTCCCACAATGAATGCAGTCATTATGTACTGAAACATATACTGATAAAAATAAAAAAATTTAAATTAGTGGATGTGGTGGCACACACAGCATTCAGGAGGCCGAGGGAGGAGGATCCACAAGTTTGAGTCCAGTATAAGCTACATAGTGAGTTCAAGACCAGCCTTAACTTCATAGCAAAACCCTGTCTCAAATGAACAAACAAAAAAATTATCTTGGTAACTGCACAAAGTGTATACTATTTTTATCCATATTGATATGAGAGTTAGTTGTACATAATTTGAAATTTTTTCAATGAGCAGGTATTTCTTTTTAAACAAGAATTAAAAGAATAGCCACAAAACATGTTCCCTTTCATATGACAACTCTTTGGAAATGTTCTTTATAAAGTCTTTTCCCCTACAGTCTTGCTCCTAAAAGGTGTAATTCAAAATTAATGTTATACATAACTCTCTCTCATGTATATCCCAGTGAGTGATAAATTTTATGGTTACCCTATTTGTATAGCTTTATGCTATAGATTCCTCACCTTTAGAGGCTGGTCTCCTCTGGGTGTTGCTTTTAAGGATTTCCAGCACTGAACCTAGCAAAATATGGGGTCCAGTGAGACCCTTAACCTTTCTTATTGCAGGATTTCTACATCTGCTGCCGCAGACTGGGAGTCACCAGGCTCCCACACAACCGACTCACAATGAGTTGGGTACCCAATAAGCTGCCCATTTCACATGCTCATTTCTGGGGCCACAGCCATGGGTTCACACTTCTGGTCTCAATCTGCCTGCAGGACTCTCTCCAGCCCCTCCGAGTGTCACCTATTCAGTAAGACCATCCTTCCATCCTGCTGAGAGCATTTCACAGCTCATTTTGTCAACCTCCCCCTTGGTGTCCTGGGAGTGGGCTGAGCTGGACGCTCACATCTTTGTCTGAAGAAGCATCATGGAGCTCAGGGCTGACTCACAGCTCAAAAGCATCCTGCTGGCAAGACCCGAACCCATGTCAGCCTCTTTGGCTGTGTGTCTGCTCCTTGCTGGGTACAGTGACAGATCTGTGTAGCTCTACCCTGTAGCACCTCTCCCACCCACAGCCCTCCAAGGTCCCTGTGCAGATTCCCGACCGCATGCAATCTTGACACCTATCTGGACCTTTGTACCATGATTTTTCATGGAAAGTGAATCCGGTATGAATTCTCCAAGCAGGACCATCATGCAGCCCACATTCCTCCATCACGTGCAGCAGGTAATATGACAAACCGCCAAGCTGAAAGAAAAAACCTAATCTCTGTATCACTCCCCGAGGTTCTCCATTCATTATCCTTACCAAGCAGAGAGCATGATATTTGGTTCTTTGTCATTTGCGCATGGAGTATTCATTCTGGCTTATACTAAACATCATTTTCCTGGTTAAGTATGGCCAGACCCCATGTATAATAGTTGCTTTAAGAATTCTTTCAGAGCTGGGCATGGTGGCTCATGCCTGTAATCATAGCACTTGGGAGGCTGAGGCAGGAGGATTGTTTTGAGACCAGCCTGGGCTACAAAATGAGCTCAAAGCCAGCCTGAACTGCATAAAAAGACCCTGTCTCAAAAAAGACAAAAAAAAAAAAAAAAAAGAATTCCTTCAGGAATCAATACCAAACTTGACAATCTGTAATTTCCAAAGATAACATGTACTCCTGGCTGGGAGTACCTCTGCCACCCTGCATGGCTCCCAAGGACCCTGCCAGCAGACTCCTGATCTCATAGGATTCTGACACCTATCTGGAATTATGACTATGATTTTTCCCTACTATTTCTGATTTGAGGTCTTTCACCTTACACTCTGGAAAGAAGGAAAATGAAAGATAACAGGTCTTTTCTTCACCTTTGGTTAATAGTACATCATGGCTTTCTATCCCAACAGCTTTTCTGGGCATAAAGCACATTTTGTGTACTTATTATTTGCTACCTCTTCTAATTCTAGTCCTCTCTCTTGTTACTAGTTTCATGTATATGTTCTTTGTTCCGTGTGTGTGTGTGTGTGTGTGTGTGTGTGTGTGTGTGTGTGTGGTGCTACAGACTGAACCCAGAGCCTCATCCAGGCTACTTCATCAGCCTGTTTTCAAGTCTTTTTAGTGTGTTTACACACATAGACACACAGAAAAACACATGTTTTGGCTTTGCCTTTTAACTACCCTGGCAAATCCTGTAGAATATATTCTCCTATTAACACTTTTCCAAAATAACATTACTGGGTTTTAATACCCAACCTTTACAGAACACATGTATCCCTCACTAACATTTTTCAGCTGTTGTTTACATAGGGAAAATGGATGCAGTAAAAGCGTTCCCCAGACTCAGTATGGTACTGTAAACATAATGGGGTACAGGAAGAACCCCAAGTTACATTTCAAAAGGAATTGATTGGGTGTCAGAATTATTAACAGAACACAGTGGTACATGCATGTAATCCCAGCCACCTTGGAGGCTGAGGCAGGAGGATCACAAGTTTGGACAGTTTAGCAAGATCCTGTCTCAAAATAATAAGTAAAAAGGGGTGAGGATGCAACGCGGTGAAAAGAGCCCAGGACTCCGTCCACAGTGCAGGAGCGACATAAGCCTCACTACTGCGAACAGAGATCATTTGTGGCCACCAGATTCATCGTTTAATATCCGGGAAGCATTGCTTTGAACACCTTACATCCTGTCATACTTTGTTATTTATCTATATGCCTATAGATTTGTTGAGTTTAGTTACTTTGGAGGAAACTGGCTAGGGGATTTAAGTTAACATACAGTCTGTTATCATTTTTCTCACTTGAAATAATGGCCAACAGGCTCCCCTTAGCATTTTCATGCAGAACACCTGATTTGCAGGAATAGATTTAAACTAGAAAATGCCTGCATATCAGCAAATGGAGGAATAAGCAAAACACGGCACTGACAAAGACTGTGGCACCACAGACAGTGTGGCACCCGCAGGGGTGCTGAACAGAAAGGGAGGGAGCGTGGGTTGTGCTCCAGTGGGTAAACCTGGGTATCATTATGCTGAGTGCGAAAAAATCAGGGACAGAAGACAGACAGCAGGGATAGAAGACAGACTGCAGTATTTTTTTTTTCAGACTGCAGTATTTAGAATATATGAAATACTCAGGACAGGCAAATGCATAGAGAATAGAATGGAGGAAAGATCATCAGAGGCTGCTGTGGGAAGCAACAGGGTGTTCCTCACTGGTACAGAATTTCTGTTTGGCATTGTGGAAATTCATTCAAAGTAGGTTGTGCAATGTTGTGAGTATAATAGCTGCCACTTAATTGTACACTTAAAATGGTTAAAATGGTAAGTTTATTGTGTTTTACTACAATAAAAAGGAAAGATACAGTAATTTATTTTTTAAACTCTTCAGCACTGAGATTCTTATTTACATTGAGTCCTATAAACAGTCCAAATATACACAGGGAGGTGTTCGTGGGGAATCTTGTCTTCATCTTATTAAACTTTTAATTTTCCTTTAAAAAGGGGGGAGGGAGTTATAAGCTTGCTTTTCTTATTCAACAGTACCGATAGGTGACCTCTCTGCATGAAGACCCAGCACCCAGTATGCAGCTGCCGCAGAGCCCCCTGTAGCTCAGGAGCCCCTGAGTCCAGGAGCCAGCCCCTGCCCTCCGCTCTGACCTCGCAGGGGCTTCCTGGTATGCTCCAGGCTGGCACCTCCTCTTCATCCTTCTTCTCTCCCTGCAAGGTACAGACAAAGCGTCGGTCGGTCTGTCCTTAGCAAATTGCAGGGCATTCATGCCAGTGCCCTCCTGTTGGGAGCCACCACATTGCCGAGCCACCGCATATAGCGATCATGCGGCCTGTGGTAAAGAGTAAAGCCTGAGTTAGATTACCCCTCCCATCGAGCACGTTAGTTTCCTGCTTACCGCGTAAACAACCCGCTCAATAATATGTTAGCCAATCAGCTTGCCTTGCTTACTTTAATATGATTGGACACTGTATCCGTATATATACTGGTGCCACCCCTGGGGGGAAGTAGAAGCCCGGAAGGAGCCGCGGAGAGCGGACCGGTAGAAGCTTCGGAGCGAAGCACGGAAGGAGCCGCGGGGAGCGGACCAGAGGAGGCTTCGGCTGGGAGCGATCCCAGGGCAGGCTGTACGGAGAGAAAATAAAAGAAAAGGTTGTCCACTGCCAGACTTTGTCGTGTGTCCTTCCTGCCGGCTGGGAGCGACATCGACACCCTCCCCTGTCTTTCTTAGACTCAGAACACTACCAGCTCAGGAACATTCCTCAAATTATTGTTCATAAAAGTGGATGGTAGGACACAAGTCCATCTGCAGCAATTAGCCAACAGCTCCCCTCACACTCGACCACTAACAAGGTGATTTATAGGTTACAGAACTGACATGAAAAATGGCCCAAATATTAAGTGAAAAATAAAGTTCTCGATGCAATATACATATAATTTCATTTTTATTAAAAATAATCAAGTTGATTATGTACACATAAAGCAAAAGCCTGGGGGCTACAGTTCCAACATGTTAACGGTGGTCGTAATGTGGTGGATGACAGGTGACATTTCATTTGCATATGGGCGTCTCCCAGGTTTGCAGCTATAAGTCGAATCCTCTAAAAACCCCTGAACCAAAATAACTCCTCCACTGAGCTGTGAGTGTCAGGTGTTGGTCGCGGTGACACAGAAGTGACTAGGATGGGGGTGCTGTATTCCATCCACTCCCACCCTCCCTCCCTCTTCCATTCATCTTTTATTCAAAATAGCTGTTCAGGTCTGAGGCCGACTTGCTAACGCCACTGCATGGGCTGCTTTGCACTCATAACTCACGTAATAAGGGAAAACAGCTTTTTAAAAAGTCGGAGTCAGCCTCCAACCCCAGCAATTACACAGAGCCATCCCAGAGCACAAATACATTCCCCAGGCCCTTCTGTCTCTTGAGAGTTTTGGTGTCCCCTAGAGAACAGGAAGGATAAAGGAGTAAGGGGTACTCAAAGGAGCAGGGCCGACTCACAAGCCAGGGATTTCTCCACTGTTTCATTTCATCCTTGAAACAACTAAAAGGATTGGATATTATCCTTTCCACTTTACAGATGAAAAAACTGAGGATCTGATGATAAACAACCACTTCCAACTATGCAGTTAATGAACAAATTAAAACACAAGTCAGCCTGCCTCCACTTGCCTTCTCCCTGGGTTTCACTTAAAATTTCCCACCAAATCATCCTTTTTTTACCTTTCTTCCATGAAAAGCCTGTCCTCAGAGGCTGAGAGGTAGGCACCAGGTGGTGACACTTACTGCTGTTCCTAATTGTCCCCCGCTGACACAACTGTTGGGCTCCGTTCCACGGAGTACTTTCTGCGTCCCAGCCCATCGCACCAGGCCCGGGAGATTTGGGGTGCACCTGGCAGAGGCGTCCTCGCTGCACCGAGCTCGCTCTTTGCCTGGAGCTGCAGTATCAACAGTGCAAGGGGAGCCTGCATGCAAAGCAGAAACCAGGCCAGCTTCACTGAGAACCAGGGTCCACATGGAGAAGGCGCTGGAAGAGCAGAAGTGTGTGAGTGCAGACAGAGATGTCTGCAGTTTTTTGTTTTGTTTCATTTTTTTCTCCATAATGCTCTCCTCAGCTCTAATTCCAGCTTCTCTTAATGATCTGCAGGCTCCTCTGACCATCAGAAGATATGAAACTTGTTAACTGGCAAGGGCAAAATGTGGGCCTCCTAGAAACCATGGTCAAAGCAACAGAAAGGAATGCAGGAGGAAAGTGTGAAAAATGTGTGGGTTTGTTTCACAAATCGACCATCCCTGGTGCACTGGGATGGAGGGCAACTCATGCCCGTGAGCTTAACGATGTCCACAAAGCCAACTGGCTATGGAAAAGGCAGGCTGCAGGTGCAGGAGCTCCAGCGGGGCTCTGTGTGGGCTGGACGCTGTCCGCAGACTCCAGTAGCCGGCCACCCTCCTCACAGGGCTGCTGGTGTTAAGGAAGAAACATATCGTCTCCATGTTGCACACCAGGCTGAGCACCTGGGCACCTTCAGTTACTCAGCCATGGGCTGAGGCCCGGAGGGGGAAGGCGGCATCAGAGCCGGAAGGTGGCATCAGAGCCAGGTGGCTTTCGGTTGCCTTGAACAAACGGAGAGTGAGGGAGTGAGGAGACAATACCCAACACCTACAACTTGACAGAGGACAGTTCTATTTTGGCTCAGGGTTTTAGGGGACTTGAGTTGGCTCTGAGGTAGGAAGCTCAGTGGGCAGTCTAGAGGAGGCGAGCCCCTGGTGTCCAGTGACCAGGAAGCAGAGGCAGAAGCCAGAAGCCCTTCCAAGTCACATCCAGCCATGGCTGCCTCCCAGCCAGACCCTGTCAAGAGTAAGTCAGCTCTGTGGCTCCCCTGCAGCCCATCTAAACCCCAGCAAATGTGAACGTGGAGACCCAGCGCGTCTCTGAGGCAGAGCAGGAGTGAGTCACCCGTTTGCCTTCTGTGTGGGTTTCCTGTGCCCACCCACACCCAGAGCCTCTGCGTTGGCCCCACAGGCTCTCCAGTCAGCCTCAGGCTGGTGCCACACCCTGGTTCTTTCTCCTCCTCCCAGGACCCCTCTCCGACTGGGGGACAGCAGAGGCTCAGGGCTGGGCAGTCACGCTGAGGAGCAGGGGCCCAGCATCAGCCCCTGTCTTACACTGTTGCACCCCATCCTCAGACCCCAAGCCCAGGTCCCCCCACCTCTGGTCTCCATCATCATCTTTGGAGAGTGAGGCCTGTGTGTCATCATTAATGGGCTGAGCAGTAGCTCAGCGAGGCGGGGAGCATCGAGCTTGGCAATCACGGCTGCGCCTCCATCGTGGCGCCTTCGCTCCCAATCCATCTCCCCTCATCACCAGGCGGCCGAGCAGGCCCTGCCTTCGCCACATTAATCAGGTTAATTTGAAGTTAGAGTTCACATTCCAATCAAAAGGCAACCAACAGGGCTGGGTTCAGGGCCAGGGGAGAGCTGACCTCCCCAGCTGCAGGCTGCCCTGCTCTGCCCAGGCCTTGTGCCTGGGCCCCTCGCACATCCTGGGTGCAAGCCAAGGCTCAGGCTCTGGAGCTATGGGGGGCAGAGGCAGAGTGACCCTGACTCCCTGTCGCTGTGAGCAAAACAACCGCACTATGGCTGTGTCCACCCCCCTCCCCTCCCCCACTGGTCAGGGCTGGATGCTGGCTGCTGAGGAGTGTGCCACCGTTGTCACCGACGTGCTGTGCTCTGCATGAGGAGTAAGCCCAGCAGCACCCTGCAGGTCACCTCCTAAGAAACCCAGCCTCTGAGGAAGGTAAGAAGACATGGAGGAGAGAGGGCAAGGCACAGAACAAACACTGAACTCGAGAAGCTCGCCAAGAGGACACAGCATACCCTCCGCCAGTGCAGCACAATGGCACCCCCAGTCCTGTCCTTATCCTGCTGGGCACCTCACAGGCTTGGGCTGCTGCAAACACTGGCGTGTGATGAGGGTCCACCCCTCCTAGATCTTCCCGCACACTGGCTTCCGACCCTGCACAATGGCCTGGCTCCAAGTCCCTCCCTGCTGTCCCGCAGAGGATCTAGTGAAATAATGGAGGCTTCCTTCCCAATTCACCTCACTTTCCTTTCTCAACAAACTCGTCCCTGGCTAGCCCAAGACAGAAATCGTGGAGGTCATTCAAGAGTTCCTTCTTAGACTTTTTCTTATTTCTTGTTGCTACTATACCAAGTACCACCAACCGAGTGGCTTAAACAGTACAGATTTATTATCTTTCAGCTGTGGAAGTCAGGAGTCATGGGTGGGCATCTCATCTGTTTTTCAGAAGTCAGGGAGAGTGCATTCCCTCACCCTTTTTGACTTCTAGAGGCCACCTGCCTGCCATGCTCAGGGCCCTTTCTCCACCCACAAGTCTCCCTCAAACTCTGACCCTCCTGCCTCTTGCTCAACATAAGGACTCTCACGTGTACACTGATACATTCAGACCCAGTATAAAGCTGCTAAAGCTGAATGACAACCTCGATTCCCTCTGCAACTTTAATTCCCCCTTCACTCTGCAACTTATTCCCAGGTTCCTGGGAACAGCATGTAGACATCAAGTTTGTCTATAAGTCCAGCTGATGGCTTCTGCCCTGGCCTCCTTTCTCGATCTCCATGCATTCGCTGGTATCAGGCTCTTTACCACCTCCACATGCTACAGTCCCCTCATTTCATCTACAGGCCGGTACTCTCTGCAGAGGTCCCCCCATGCTCAGCTGTGTGCTCGGTGCCCTGGCCAGACTGTCTGTCCCAAGCAGCTTGAATTCCATATGTTCAAGACCAAGTCACCCGCAACTTACTCTTCCTCCATCTCATAAGGAGTCACCTACCTCACTCTCCAGAGCCTTCACCTTATGCATGGCCCTCTCTGCCTGCAGGTCCTGCCCCCTCGGCCTAGTCTAGCCTCTTATCCCTTGGGCCTTAGGATCTCTCTCCTGCCTTGAGCAGTGGCTGCAATGGTCTTGCTTCTCCACCTAGCAGCCGGAGCGGACTTTCGGCAACGCACAGCTGACTGTTACTACTGGGGATCTCCATGATCACAGTCCTCTCTGCTGTGGGATTGGCTCCCAGACGCTGCACATACTGTTTGATCTGGCTGCAGTGCCTTCCTATACCCAACTCCAGCAGCCCTTCGATCTTTGGAAATTTCTTCTCTTTCTAGGACACCTTCCAAGGGAACCCACGCAGCACTTGTTCAGGCCGAGCACTATCTGCCAGGCTGTCTCCTTTGTTAGACTCTGAACCCCCAAGGCAGGGACCATGTCTCAGTCATCTTTGCCCCCATAGCACCGAGCCTGGCTCTGAGCTGGGGCTCATTCAGCGCTTCCTGAGCAGAGGGAACTGGAAACAGCCTGTTGCCTCCCAGCCGGGGCAATTCTTACCTATGCAATGACACACACATCGTCACTGCATTCATGGTTACATGGGCGAAGACAGTCATCCTCACCCCCACTGTCATTCCAACAAAAGCAGCATCTTTGACAGTCAATCACATGTCTCCAACGTCACTTACCTGTGGCCAAATGCCAGCATTCCCCGCATCCTCACCTCACGCTCCGGCACACCCATGCAAACATGCACAGTCACAAACTCCCACACGACCCAACACGCAAGCTCACACAAAACCACACAGCGGTGCACACAGCTCCAAACACCTCCAGGGCACACTTCATCTCCAATTGTGAGCAAATGCTGTTGGTTTTCATTAATCTGCAGACTCTGTGTTTGCCAGTCTCGCTGGCTCTCTCTCTCTCCCTCTTCCCCGCTCTCTCTCGTTCTGCTCCGAGGCAGGTGAGCGCATCAATTTTCTCCTCGTCTGTGGCAGTTAAATTAAATGGAATCGGCCTGATTGCTGAAAATCAAAGGGAAGGCTGATAAAGCAATTAAATCCCTCTAATTCCTCGTCCTGAAAGGTGCAGCAGCTCTGAAGCTAATTAACTTCATAATGAAAATCCTTCTTCACCCTTTTAGGCTCTTCTCCACGGGTCTTCTCTACTCTCTCTCCTTCTGGGGAGACACTGGCTACTGAGGAAGCGCTGGGTCAGCAGTGTGGGGAGTCAGAGCTCTGGAGAGGTCCTGAAGCCTCTGCTCTCTTCCTCAGCTCTGCCCCACTCACCTGCCCTGAACACCATGTCCCTTTGATAGCCTCAGTCGCCTGCTTAGCATTTCTGACACCCACACAGAGCCAGCACTGTGCCCACCCCAGCCCTGCCCTACACCGCCTTCCTCCCCACCAGCCCTACCACAACAGCCACACTACCCTAAGACCCAGCTTCCTGGTCAGCCCGCCTCTGACACCAGCCCACCCAGCACCCAGCTCCCTCCAGCTGCAGCCTCCTCCAGTGCGCCACCTGATACAGTCCTGAAACTACTTAGGCTGAAGCTATCAAGAGGGCAATCACCAAGCCCCCCTCACCAAAGGATTTCCTTATCTAGATGTAGACACAGTCCAGCAAAAAGACAATATGAGTTAATAAGGCTTTTTTAAAGAGAAACTGTAGCTGGGAATAGTAGCACATGCCTGTAATTCAGTTCTTCCAGGCTGAGGCAGAAAGATCCCAAATTTGAAGTCAGCCTGGGCAACTCAGCAAGACATCTCAAAATCAAATTAAAAGGATACAGTTCGACACACCCTCCTGGTTTCAAATCCCAGTAATAGGGAGGGGGCCTGTTTTAGTCTGTTTATGACAAAATATAAACTGGGTATTTTAGAAACAACTTAGAAGTCAATTTTCCCAGGTGCGGTGGCACACACCTATAATCTCAGCAGTCAGGAGGCCAAGGCAGGAGGATTGTTGTGAGTTACAGGCCAGCCTTGGCTACAAAGTAAGACTTGATCTCCAAAAAAAGAGAAAGAAAGAAAGAAAGAAAGAAAGAAAGAAAGAAAGAAAGAAAGAGACAGGCAGGAAGGAAGAGAGGAAACTCAGTTTCCCTATTAGGAAGGCTGAGTGTCCAAGATCAAGGCATCTGCGATTCAGTCTCGCCAGGGCCTGCTTTCTCACAGATGGCGCCCTCTTGCTGTGCTCTTGCGGTGTCCTTCATAGTGGACAGGACTCGCTAGCTCTGGGGTCTCTTTAACAAAGGAACTGGCCTCTTTCCTCCACCCTTACGACCTAATTGCCTCCCCATTCCTCACTCCTAATCCCACCTTCCTGAAAGGAGGGTTTCAGAGCAGCTTTGAGGGGATAGGGGACTTCAGACCACTGGAAAAGCCCTGGAGAGGACCCCAGGGCTCTAGAGAATGGGGAGACTCCCTGACCACTGGTGGCTGGGACCGAGAAGGAGAGCCTGCAGGCAGGGGGTGTCCGGAGCACCAAGCTGGCACGGGCAGATTCTGCAGGGCTCTGAAGATCCAGGCAAGAAGCTCCATGTCTTTCAGATAACATCACTGCACTGAAGGAGGATGTGTGCCCTGGGCAGAAGCAGAATGTGTTGGACTCCTCTCCCCACCTCTCCGGGAGAGCAGCCTGACACAGGCAGAGCACAGCGGCTCCAAGCCTTGCAGGAGAGGCAGGGACCCCAGCAGGGACCTCGGGAGCTGCCCAGCCAGGCAACCCGGGAAGGGGGCAGCCTGGGCACCAGCTGGCCTTCGGCCACCTCACACTCCACAGGATGGAGTCACCTAATAATGAGGCTCAGCTGGCTTCCACCCGCCCGCCCAGCTCTGCCTCCAGCCTCTCTGCTGAGCAGGCCAGAAGCCTGGGCTTTGCAAGGCGCCTCTTCCCCATGCACTGTCCCCACTCCTGGCTCAGGACTTCTTCACGACACCTCAGGCCTTTGCTTACCCTCACCTCTCTGTCACCTTCTAGCCAGTCCTTGCTTCAAGTCACCACCACCTCCAACACCTGCTCCAAAATAACTGTTCTAAGGTAGAAAAATACTCACACCACTCTGCTCATGACAGGCCCAGGAGGCTGCCACCCCAAAGGTCCTGAGCTTGGACAAGGGCCCTGCCTCCACCTGCTTCTCAAAGCCCCACCACACTCCAGCTTCCCCTCACCATGCTGTTCATCCCAGAAGACTTTGTGATCTCTCACAACTCACTGCAACTTAATTTATGACTTCTATATTTTTGTCTCATTTTCCTTTGAGCTTTGCAGTGCTTTCTAAGTATTCTGCATTGAGCAAGTATTATTATTCCTCCCTATTTTATTTTATTTTTTGAGACAGGGTCTTACTATGCAGTTCAGGCTGGCCTTGGGCTCACTATGTAGCCCATGCTGACCTCAAACTCATGACAATCCTCCTGCCTTGGCCTCCCAAGTGCTGGGATTACAGGCATGCACCACCACCCTCAGCATAAGTGTTATTTTTGGCAGTAGAAAAACAAAATATTTTTAATGTACCTGATAATACCTCCTCCCTTCTACTTCTCCCCAGGCTCCTACACTCTGACCCTTAGAATGCAGCCCACCTTGGGCCTCACTGAAGCCTCTTTCCCACCTGCTGGAGGACCAGCCTTCTACCTGCTTGTACACTGGTCTCCCTTACACGTCGAGGCCCTGGAAGATGAGGGTAGGAAGCATGCTTCTCTTGGCTAACACAGTGTTAGGTTCATCTGCTGTACCCATGATTATTGATTGAATGAATGAATGACCAAGTGGCCTGGCAGTCGAGCTGTTGGTGGGACATGTGCCTTTCCCTGTGTGGGGACTGTGTCCTCGGCCTCTGCCCACCCTGGGTCGCCCTGCTGTTTTGAGGGGAGAGTGAGGCCTGTGCCCAAACTCCAGCTCCAGCCCAAGATGCCCTTTTGGAGCCTCTCAGAGATGCAGTCCTGGAAACAAGAAAAGAAAACAGAAGGAGAGAGAAGTCGAAGTGAAGCAGGAAGACAGAGGCAGAAAGAGCGCAAAGGGAGAGGCAAGCAGAGACGTGAGGGCTCATGAGCAGGTCCCCAAGCCAGCCCGGACCTCAGCACACACGAAGCCCACACTGGGGCCGGGGGACAGGTGTCCTAGGCCAGCACCCACCCGATCCAGAGCCTGTGGACAGCACCCAGCAGGGGCGGCTGAGCTGCACCATGCCTGGTGACAATTCGGGCTCCATCTGCTGCATGTGGGGCTGGCGCAGCTCCGAGGCTGGAGGGCGGGGGGTGCACGAGGTGACCAGCTGAACGGAGGCAGGGGAGCGGCATCTCTGGGGGGGGGGCGCCCGTGGACTTGGAGTCAGGACGGCGCACCACACCGGGCCGACTTCATGTTTTTTTTTTTTTTTTAATTTTTATTTTGAAAGTATACAACAGAACAAGTCAGAATAAAGCCAACTAAGATCATACAGTGAAACTGGTACAGAACTTCACAGCAGGTTACCAGGATAACAGTAATAGGTATCACAATATATTTTGTTATCTTTATAATAGTTGTTCTTTCAATCCCGTATATCAATGTTCGCACGTGCCATTTCCTCCCAGTCTCACCCCTGGAATAAATTTGTGAGCTGTCCGCAGCATGTCCTTAGCCACACTGTTTGACCACTTACTATGCACCACCACCCACCCAACCCACACACAACCCTCAGCCATACCAAGCCATCAGACACTGCAGACCATGGCCCATCCCACCAGGCAAGACACCTGGTCACACACTGCCACCAGAAGCCACCAGCAGCACGTGCTCACACCTTTCTCAGTTGCTCAGAGTAGAAGCAAAGCACAAGACAAAATCCTGCACACAGTCTCCAGGACATCTTGCTACCCACACACACACAGAGGGGCACACGTACACACACATGCAAGCGTACACACACACACAAGTTACTAGAGTCAGCAGAAGCGATGGGTCGGTTGCCACACAGGTCTATGTGGGTCTTGGTTCTAAAGAAAGCAAGTCAGCGTCAGGTTCCTGGGCTACTACCCCAGCCCTGTCAGCCCTAGGGCCCATGTCTGGGGATACCGCCCTTGCACCCTGGCTACGTGAGCCGTGCCCTTACTGCTCAAGAGGTCGGGGTCCTGCTGGGGTCCAGGCCCCTCGGTCCCCCCAACCACCCCCTCCCAGCCCTGCTCCTGCCGGCTCATTCTCTTTCCATCTGCACTGCTTCTCCTCCCCCAGACGACCCCCCATCCCCGCCCCCCAGCCTCGGTGATAAAAGAGCCAGATTGGAGCGGGTGCCACGCAGCTTCATTCCCCACCATATGGGCCCAAAAGCCAAATCGTCAGCTAAGCGATTAAATCAAGTATGTCGAACAAAATGTTATGAACTGACATTATGGGTATATAATTTTATGCCATTTGTTGCCATCTGTTTATCTAAACAGCCCCCATTCTACACAGACTCACAGACTCACACCTTCCTCCTGCCCTCCACCACAGGGCCCCACCCCAGCCAGGGTCAGGGGTCAGGGTAACAAGATGTGCCCTTGGGAACCCAGTGGAACGGGGACTTAGGGCACCTAGGGGCTGAGGAAAGGAGTGCACTGGGTGGGAGGTGAAGGCATCAGAAGGCCTGAATGTAAGGACTGCGGCAGGTCTGCACGGGCTATGGACCAGGACCAGGGACCTCCCTGGCAGGCCGCCAGCCTGGCACGTGTCATGTGTATACCAGGATGGAGGGACAGCAGCTGTGCACGGAGTGCATGTGGTGTCCCTCGGCCCCACAGGACCAGCAGGGGCCCCGCAAGCCCATGGGCTGGAAGCACCTGTGTCCCTCAGCCCCCAGCAGTTCAGTGCGAGATGGTTCCTTTGGTGGTCACTGGGACCTGGTGAATATGACCACAGGCTCCCAGCAGGGAGGTTCGGTCATCCTGCTCCTCCTGCCTCCCACTGCCACCTTCAACGGTGCCCTTGTCTCTCACTCACCTCCTCCCCATGGTGACTGCCCATCTCACCTCGGGTCACTGTCTCCTCCCCGACTGTCTGTGGTTCTGCTCCATCCTCTGACTCTCCGCTATCTAGCTGGAGGGGGTTCTCCATAGAGGGGTACAGGTCCCAGTCAGGGTGAGAAGCTGGCCAGAGGAAGGGAGAGAGAGGGAGGTGAGTGGGAACCCACAGCCTGGCGCTGTTCCAGGAGCAGGAAAAGCAAGGAAGGGGATGGTGGGCTCTGCTGTGAGGCTGGCCCAGCGGAGTGAGATGCAGGAAGGCCCACTGAAAAGCATGGCAACCTCTCCCCAGCTGGTTAAAACCTA